TATATATATATATATATATATATATATATATATATATATATATAAATATATATATATATATATATATGAACGTCTTAAAAAAATAATATTTCAGAAATTAATTTGAAAGGGGTATTTATATATATGCAAAAAATAGTTCTTGTACTTGTGATTTTTAATTTATCCTTGTTCTTGGATATATTTGGCATTTAAGTAGGTAAAATCCATTAAAATATAAGCTTTGTATTCCTTAATAATGAAATATAATTTCTATAAAATAAACTGTCTCATTGCTATTTAATTGACAACGATAAAATACAAGACTTCCAAGGTAAGTGAAGTTATAAAAATGCAACTACTTGTGACCAATAATGGGAATTAAAATTACTGTTATTTATTTATTTTTATATCAAGTTATTTCTAGTTTGACTCATATTTCGTATGAAATAAAAAAAATATATGATGCATAAAAACGCAAAGCTTGTTTCCCATAATAGTCTTACTGTGGAATGAACTGACTTCTTCTTCACATCTGATTTTTTTTCTTTATTTCGTTCGAGACTTTTCTTCATCACTACTGAAACAGGTGTAATTAAAATAGTGTATAAGTATTACTAGTATAAGAAGATTTTGCGATTTTAAAGACGACTGGATCAGGATGTTAAAAAAATACAATTTATTAATTATGTGTTTAATAAAGTTCTAACTATGTATTTCTCGCTTGGTACACACACACACATAAAAAAAAAAAAAAAAAAAACAAAAAAAAAAAAAAAAAAATAAAAAAAAAAAAAAAAAAAAAAAAAAAAAAAACCAAAAAAAAAAAAAAAAAAAAAACCAGAACAATAATATAATAATTGAATTTAGTAAGGAAGTGGAGAGGAACACGACCCAAATAGAAATAGAAAAAAAAATAATGAATATTTTATAATAACTACAAACAACATACAGAGAGGATGGATTCATCTAATATAAGTAATAGTATCACCACCAGCACTGCCAATAAGAATGTCCCCTTTTGGCAAGGTTAGAACATGTCTTAAAACTCAAAATTATAGTTATATAAAAAGAGGACTGAATAGAAAAATTTTAAAATTATTGTAAGATTTCACGTTTTTGTGATGGTCAGCCTTGAAGATTTACTATTTTTCTTTTTCTAATACAAAGGAGCTTCTCAAAAATATTCGATTACATTGTGAAGAAAATATACCTGTGTTATTTTTTCCCCTTTCCTTCAGGTAGAGTTGATACATAAATGGTTTTCTCGTTCCAACTGTAAGATTGTACATTGTAAACATGTCCGCGCTAATATTAAAAATTTTAAGTGTTATATTGGTGTAAATCTTCGACACACTTTGTTTGATTTGAACCGTGTAGTTCATCACTGGACAGTTGGTTCTGCCACAGTTACCGTAAGATGAGCTTGCCATTAACGAAGCCTCTGAAACATTCATCGATGTTATAATACACACTGAGACTTGCACAGTTTCACCGATACCAACCAATACCGTTTTGTTTTTGAACTCGCCATCACAGAGAATGGGTCCACCTTTATGGGACGATAACATAAAAACAGTTAGTTTCTTAATTTATCCAATGTCAACAAACTCTAGAACAAATTTATATTAAATAAAAAAAATAAGAACAAAGATGGAGAACGAAATTTCAAGCCTTACTTACTCTCCATAGTTACAAGAATGAATTGTTTCGTATTCTAGTATTAGAATAAGTATTATTGAACCAGGTAGACATGGCATGTTTCTTAATTTATGGTAATTATCTGATCATAGATATTCATGTTGTGCTAAATCGATGCCAGTCCGTGTCACAAATGACTCGGGTGGGGATTAACAACAGATCTCCATTGTTCTTCAGATAAGTTATGGGGTGAACAGAAATTGCTGTGATTTTAGGTAGGGAACTGTTAGGTGCATGGGGTAAGGCTAATATATATTCTCGTATCTTTTAGATTTTGGGGATGGTTCTATCCAAAACATTATGTCTCGGGTTTTCCAGACTTCGTGTGATAACTTTGGGGTTAACGACGGAAGTTCCTAATTGACCGGAAATGAGAAGGGTATAGATGGGTTGATTGCAAACATTCTTGGATCACCTAGGGAGGTAGAGAATGGTACATAACATAGAACTCTTCGTGACATAAGACAGAGGGAGAGATTCGTGGATGGTCGTTCTGTGGTGGCAGCACAAGCTGTAGTCACAGATAGAATTAGGGATAGACAGATACGTGTTAACAGACAACAGACATGACAATCTTATTATAGTGATCAATACATCTTTTACTTATAACTGTTAATGAGGAGTTGTTTAGTCATTCATTCGTGTTCTGTGTTCTCTTCGTTGTACTTCTCAACGCCTGGACCAGTGAACCATCACAGAGAGCAACGGCCCCATACTATTCACAACACCACCAACGCCACGTGCTACATGACCATAAATACGGGCCATACCTCATTACCATCTCATCTGTGCCAGTCCGCGAACCACATTTGGGGAACACTGGTCTAGAACTTTATAGATTAAATATTCAGTTCTTCCTAATCTGTATTGCCCACCCACATCCACAAGGAGGTTGGAATCATTGTCAGTCAGTGGTTAGAGGTGGACACATAAAGAAGATGGTTATTTGCATATTTCAAAGCGCTTTTTATGGTTGAATTTTTCGAAATTCGTTTTGAAAAATAGATGGGTATGCTTTAAAGGTAGCGGGAACTAGAATGTGAATATAAATGAAATATTTTTCGCTAATATATGAGTAAAGTTATTATACATTTTTATGAAGAATATTTAAAACTTTGAAATTTTAAAATTTGCAACTTGCATTTTACAGGGTTCACATAATCGATAATTGCTGATAAAGCTGCAGAAGCGTTTTCCTAGTTCAATCTTGATTAAACTTCCGGCTCTGTTATGAATATATATATAAGTGAACATTTTTTCGTGAATTTGTTTGTTCCAAATGTGTCTACACTGCGGGATGGATCTTGACTAAATTTGCCACACATTATCCTAAAAGGGTGGACATGGTTGAACTTAACACTATAATACTTTAGTGGCTTTAGGCCCTTGATTTGTTTTTACCTATATGAAATATATAAATATAGATCAAACTTAGTACACGTCCACTTGATTTATTGGTGGGTACAGAACTTTAAAAAAATATACACCCTTTTTAAGGCCAACAGCAACCATATCAATGATTCTTAAGTAGTTTATTGAAAAACCAATAAGCTGAGACACCAACACAGGTTCAATGTGAAGTGTTGGATCTAGGCAAAGCTTGGTAGCAACACCAAACAAAACACATTGAATTAGCGGTGTATTTAAACCTAATAGTATCCAATACATTCGCGTTTGGGCTAGACTTTTCAACAAAGTTCTATAATATGCCCCATTTTCAAGGCATTACTAAAACATAAACTTATGAAAGGGGGCTACAGTGGAGACTCTATATAAACTTTAATAATGTGTTGTTACTGTTAAGTCATTATTTGTAAATGTTTTAAATTCGAACAATGATTACGAAGAGAAATATATTTACTAATTTCGAAGAGATTATTATATTTCAAGAAATGCTTATTATCATGGTGATATACTGTGGAATCTATAATCTTATAGAAATGTTACCCTAGGTCTCTTGATTTTTATACTTTGACAGGGATTTTGTCAGTTGCGCTTAGTTACCATTCAAAATTTTATTCAAGGTCAAGATTGTCAATTAATGTTGCTTATGATATATACATTAATGAAGCTGAATGTTTAGACTATAACAAACGCTTTTACGTGCATTGATTTATTTCGCAAAAGTTGTTTAACACCCCTTCATAATCTCGCAGCGTAACAGCAACCTACGGTGGATGGGATCTAACAGGAAATGCAACCCAATGGAATGTTATCCTGCTGTGATCGGGATCTCACTGAGAAATCGGATCCCACCAAGGAAAAATATACAACTGGAAATTGGTTCTCACTGGTGATGGGATTCCACCCGAAAATGGAATCAAATCGGGAACTTGATCTGATTTGGAAACTGAATGCCATCAGGAAAAATATTCTCCGAAGAGCGGAATACCAAAAGGGGGGTGAAGGATGCAATCGAGGAAATGGATCCCATCGGGGAACGGGATTTAATCGAGGATTCCAACCTCACTGGTAAACAGGATTTAACCTGTAACGTGATGCCATTTGGAAACTGGACCCCATTGGTGAACGGAATCTTATAGGGCAATGAGAGCCTCTTGGAGAACTGGATGCCATTTGGAAACTGGACCCCATTGGTGAACGGAATCTTATAGGGCAATGAGAGCCTCTTGGAGAACTGGATGCCATTTGGAAACTGGACCCCATTGGTGAACGGAATCGTATAGGGCAATGAGAGCCTTTTGGAGAACTGGATGCCATTTGGAAACTGGACCCCATTGGTGAACGGAATCTTATAGGGGAATGAGAGTCTCTTGGAGAACTGGATGCCATTTGGAAACTGGACCCCATTGGTGAACGGGATCTTATAGGGCAATGAGAGCCTCTTGAGGAACGTGATGCCATTTGGAAACTGGACACCATTGGTGAACGGAATCTTATAGGGCAATGAGAGCCTCTTGGGGAACTGGATGCCATTTGGAAACTGGACCCCATTGGTGAACGGAATCTTATAGGGAGGGCAATGAGAGTCTCTTGGGGAACGTGATGCCATTTGTAAACTGGACCACATTGGTGAACGGAATCTTATAGGGCAATGAGAGCCTCTTGGGGAACTGGATGCCATTTGGAAACTGGACCCCATTGGTGAACGGAATCTTATAGGGGAATGAGAGCCTCTTGGGGAACTGGATGCCATTTGGAAACTGGACCACATTGGTGAACGGAATCTTATAGGGGAATGAGAGCCTCTTGGAGAACAGGATGCCATTTGGAAACTGGACCACATTGGTGAACGGAATCTTATAGGGCAATGAGAGCCTCTTGGAGAACTGGATGCCATTTGGAAACTGGACCCCATTGGTGAACGGAATCTTATAGGGCAATGAGAGCCTCTTGGAGAACTGGATGCCATTTGGAAACTGGACCCCATTGGTGAACGGAATCTTATAGGGCAATGAGAGCCTCTTGGAGAACTGGATGCCATTTGGAAACTGGACCACATTGGTGAACGGAATCTTATAGGGCAATGAGAGCCTCTTGGGGAACTGGATGCCATTTGGAAACTGGACCACATTGGTGAACGGAATCTTATAGGGGAATGAGAGCTTCTTGGGGAACTGGATGCCATTTGGAAACTGGACCACATTGGTGAACGGAATCTTATAGGGCAATGAGAGCCTCTTGGGGAACTGGATGTCATTTGGAAACTTGACCCCATTGGTGAACGGAATCTTATAGGGCAATGAGAGCCTCTTGGGGAACTGGATGTCATTTGGAAACTTGACCCCATTGGTGAACGGAATCTTATAGGGCAATGAGAGTCTCTTGGGGAACGTGATGCCATTTGGAAACTGGACCCCATTGGTGAACGGAATCTTATAGGGCAATGAGAGCCTCTTGGGGAACGTGATGCCATTTGGAAACTGGACCACATTGGTGAACGGAATCTTATAGGGGAATGAGAGCCTCTTGGGGAACTGGATGCCATTTGGAAACTGGACCACATTGGTGAACGGAATCTTATATGGGAATGAGAGCCTCTTGGAGAACAGGATGTCGTTTGGAAACTGGACCACATTGGTGAACGGAATCTTATAGGGCAATGAGAGCCTCTTGGAGAACTGGATGCCATTTGGAAACTGGACCCCATTGGTGAACGGAATCTTATAGGGCAATGAGAGCCTCTTGGAGAACTGGATGCCATTTGGAAACTGGACCCCATTGGTGAACGGAATCTTATAGGGCAATGAGAGCCTCTTGGGAAACTGGATCTTATCAAGGAAATGTAATTTTAAGAAAGTTAATATACGAGTTTGAATTATATTTTATAAATAATATGACAAAAGACACATTTTGAATTAATGAACACAAAATTTACGTACAGTTGGCTAATGAAACGTCTAAGTTAGCATGTATTTTCTTGCCGTCAGAATAGGTCGCGCTGCAAACGTACGTCGCCATGAATCGGCAGTTAACATCCGGTGAGTGATGAACCAGTGTGCTGATGTTTTTATTCCCATGTGGAGACTGCACTGACAGATAACCTGGATTGTTGAGTCTGCCGATACAGATGATGTGTGGAAAGCCGGTAACAGTGCACTTAAATTGAACACCAGGTTCGTCATCGTATGCTTCATAAGTGAAGTTTACCTCACGTGTAACTGTTTGTGATAAAAATTGTTTTGTCATAAACTATTGATTATATTACCTGGTCGTTACGAAAAAGAAACAAAATGCTTAAAATGTATTAAAGAAAGCAAAAAAAAAAAAAAAATTAAATATTACTCAAAAGTTTATGATGATATATAAAAATTGTTTCTTCTTAATCAGGGAGAGAGACTGAAATAAAGTTAGAAAAATGGAAATGGGCGAATTGGGAAAACCACGTATCGGCAAGAAGCCTTCATCAGCCAAAACACAGCAGTAAAAAACAAATGCAATGAAGTATCTGAGAGGACAGCAAGTGCAAAGTAATAAAACAGAAGAAGATGGGAGATTTAATAGCAAAATAGAACTGAAGAGATGAAAAAGAACGTCAACTGCAATTGTTTGTAAGAAGAAGGGTCGCAGAAGAAAGATTTAAAAAATGAATGAGATAATGAAAGTTATGTCATGCGTTTTCATGTTTTTGTAAGTCTGAAACACTTTGTTAGCCAAGCTCATCCAGTTTGGCATTCATCACAATGCACAATGGTCGTGATAGGCAAAGTTGCGGGAGCCTTTTTGGCGGCTTATATTTAATTTCTTTGAGATGGGTCAAAGCTTTTCTTGTGAAATATTTTTATTTTGTTCTAATTATCTGTCCGAGAGGCACCATCCTGTTACACCTAGTTACACCATCTGGAAACTGGTAAGACGAATGCGTAGGAAACATTACAGCAAGTAAAGAGGAAACAAAAATTAACCCGAAACGAAAATTATTAAAGGGAACGCATTGAGCCCGGAAGCCAAAAAAGAAATGCTGCATCAAAATAACTTCATCACAAAGTACGAGGTGGCAGCGTGGATCTCGAAATTTTTTTTTTGGTCTCAAAACAATGAGTGGCGGGGCAGAGAATATATTGTGTTTATCAGGGTCGGTTTATCAGGACTGGATTATTAGTTTTAAATTAAAACATGTTTTCTATGTTATGTTTGTGATGATACGTGGGAATACGTTTGGCTCGTTCGCCACGTCGGAAGAGCTCTGAAGTTATCAGAAAGGGTTGTTTTTTTTAAACATTAAAGGTCGGATTCACGTTCCTTCTCTGTGTAGGACCGACATCTCATCTTGATTACCTTGTCCCAAAAGTAATCCGTAATGGAAAGTTCATGATGATAATGTATTTTAGAAAATATTTCAGACAGTTGAAGTGAGGTCGCTTCAAATAATTTCAATTGTTTGGCCATGCTTTCAAAATGTGACAATTCACACCTGGTGACTGGAGCTTATTCCAAAGGAAAAGCAGGGATGGAGACTATAACCTCGGATTGTAACTTATCTAGTTGAAAGAAACGAACTAAGGGAGTAAGCTTCAAAGGAAAGATCCGAAGGAGTCACGGTGACGATAATGAAATTTCCCGTAATTCCTTGTACCAAGCGGTAATACCCGCAACATATTTCTTTTCTGCTAACACTGGAGGAAGAAATCTGTTAAAGATAGACCTATTAAAAAAATATACCAAGGCCTACCCGCTGCATGTATGAAGATATGTTCTAATGATTTAATTTTAATTGTATGGAAAAACACCTAATTAATAACAAAACATAATTTTATTGTTATTAATCGAATGAATCGACCGTCATAGCCCCTACAAATGAGTTGTAATCATCAAAATGGCACGAACATGCCCCTTAAATATTCTTTGTATCAATAATGATTTTGATCAACTGTCTTTTAAAATTTTGAACTGGAACACATAAAGCCGTTTTATTTATATACTAAAAAAAATAAAAAATATTCAATTACTTTTAATTAGCATATATATCATATATATTATATACATTCTACGTTACCTTTTTACTCCTGAAAAAGGTACGCATTTTGTTTGTTAAAGTAAATCAAACAATTAAAAATACAACATCACTGCAACATTAGCTTTAACGTTTTAAAAACCTACCTTGTGTAGAATTTGCAAAACGGTACACAAATGTTAAAAATAACGCTACAGAAAGAGATGCCTTCATCGTAATTCAAAATCCATATCACAGCACAACTTTATCTCTGATAAATGTGGACGAAAAATAAGAACTTGTATTAATATATTTGGTTTTCTATGGATGATTTTTCTGTCTACATTCATGTTCAAAATTCATAAAAAATTGAAAGGACAAAAGAATTTTAAAAATAAAATGTGGTGTTTTTTTTTTGAAGACATGCATACCATGCCAGTAATGGAAACGCATTTTTTGTCTGTTTGATCAAATAAATAAGCCTATTTTAAAAGTGGGCTTTCAAAAAAAAAAAAGGTTTAACATTTTATAATTTACGCATTTTCAAATAATAAATCTTTCCCATTTAAAGAATGATTCAGACTTTATCTTGCAATATATTTCACGTTTTATCTAGATTTCATCTGGTCGACGATTTCTAAGAACATATTAGCAGGTATTGTGAGAGAGGGGTGGGGGTGCACCTCTGGTTGACCTCTCCATATGCCAAATATCTATTTTGAATTGTTTTGTTTTGGGTTGCTAAAAACATGGCATTCCTCACGGCGCAGGGTTGGCTTGCAATTGTGTTCAATGGGCGCTAACAAAATCCAATATTACCATCAAATCTATAAATATATATATAAGTTATGTTTTATGAAGCGTACACGTGCATTTTGTAAAACATTTAGAAAAAAATTAAATATTTTAAATGAATGAACTTCATTGAACCTAGATGCACATTATATTAATGAAAACATGAAATATCAAAATATGACAAAGGAATCGCACTCTTGGTAATCTGCTGCAAAGAGAGAGGGAGAGAAAGAGAAAGAAAGAGGTAGATAGAGAGAAAAAGAGAGAGAGAGAACGACACTTTACTACATATATTAATTAGGTTGGTCACTAAAAAGCCGCGCGAAAACAAAAGAAGCGCTAGTAGTGTCATCATTTTGTTCATTTGGGTTATTCGCTGTCGTTTCCTTTGTATATAGTTGAACCAATTTGATCGGATTATCCAGAAAAATATACCAATAAATGTAACTCATTACTAAAATTTATATAGTTTAAATTATTATTTCTTTGTGATTATATCCAATTAATATACTTTAACGGTACTTTGAAAAATGCCCTATTATGTGGTTGAATAAAGCCTTCTTAAACTTTCTCAAAAGAAAATATTTTTTTATGTTGTTTACTTACTTGTTTTGTTTGACTAAACATTTTTCCCCCAATAGAGATTGAAAATACTATTAAAAAAAAAGATATTGATAAAGTCCAACCTTTCGTCATAAAAAAAAAACCTAACAAAACAATAAATCTGTGAAATGCAACTCATCGATTGCTATCGCCCTAGTTCTAGTGATTTGTAGTTTTTCTTTAATCGCTACAGTTTTTTTTCCTTGGTGCATATTTAAGTTGTATAAAGAGTTAGTTTAAATAATAGACAATAGCAAAAAATATAATATATGTTTTTTTAAGAGTATATCTTATAATATTTAGTTATAATTCATGGACTAATAGAATGAGTGTTTTGCAATATTTTGTTTATGTTTGATAAGCAGGATGAATAAAAAGAAAAAAAACGTTTGAAGGACCTCCTTATTTTTTGCTCATGAGGTGGCCGGACAGTGTCCCATGAGGTGGCCGGACAGTGTCCCATGAGGTGGCCGGACAGTGTCCCATGAGGTGGCCGGACAGTGTCCCATGAGGTGGCCGGACAGTGTCCCATGAGGTGGCCGGACAGTGTCCCAAACCCCTTTTTATAGCCCGGATAACAGTCGCTATCGATGTTTAGATGACGTTGAATGTATACAATCGAAAACAATTTCAAACCTAAATTAAAATATATATTGATATATTGGTCTAGGCTTCTTTCATACATAAAGCTATTGCTCAACACTTTTATTATTAAAATTGCTATTTAATATTAATCCGTCAAGTAAATGACGTTTGAAGTTGAAAAATTTTACAATATTGAATATTTATAAACGCCATAACCTAATATGTATTCCGCCTGCTACCATTGGTAAGCGATTCAACCAAGAAATAAAATTTAAAATTGTTTAAAATATAAATTGATTACTATGCTAAATAACGCATACCGGGTTTTGAAACAGTAAAAACCAAGGCTGTTTGGCATCCTCTTAAAATCCATTCAATTTGTTGTAAGATGACCAAAGACCAGTATTCTGGCTATGAGTGAGTCGATTTCATCATAATGACATAAAAGATAACGGGTTTACCCGTAACTAATTATTAGAAAAAATTGAAAAACCACACACCATTTTAATTGATTTTTGTAAGTGTAGAAAGTAAAGGAATCAGTGACGTTCATAAAATCATTTTAAAACTAAATATTCGTTGTGTCACGTTTGTCTACTTTATTGACTTTAAGGGACACAAACAAAACAATTAATTAGCCATCGAATGAAAGTAGAAGACAATATTGTGTTGATATAAAATAATCGTTTATAAAAATTCCACTAAAGATACAATACGGATATAACGTAAACATTTTTTTTCTGTACGAATTATATAATATTTTTATATTTGATGTTTAATAAACAATCCTTCTAGAGTTTATTTTATTTTCATGTACCTCTTTAATTGCTATTTTTAAGTATTAAATAATTGAACAATAAACTGATATACGGAAAATACGTTATATATATATTATTAATATTTTCCATTAAATATATAATAATTTTTTCATTATTTGTTGCATAAAATCTATTTTAAAAACGTGTTGTATGTGTGTGTACACATCTCTTATGTCAAATTTATCGAGAGCTAATAAAATGTAGAAAGCACTGTCCTTTTTGTTGGGTCTTATCTAGCCTATCGCATGTAGTGTATGGTGTGTTATAAGCCCGAATCAAATCTAGGCTAAGAAATCTAGGCTTTGACCTTCACAATGAATAGCAAAATCGTGCCAGGACAAAATCATGTAGCCGTGTCGATCGAGTCCGAGCTTGTGAACCAGAATGTTTGCAAGGACTCATTTTGTTTTCTGCACACATTGGATTAACATGCCACTGTTTTTTTTCAAAAAGGTAAATGCTCTTTTCAAGTAATATATGCTTTGTTAAATGCAAATGCTGCTAGAGGGTGAGGTATGTTAATGAACTGTAGTGCAATCTCAAAGAAATAGAAAAGTACGTAATATTGCATAACCTTGCACTGTAGCTTGATGAGAGGTGCCAACCTCGAATGGTATCTCGTTTAACAAAAAGAGACATCAGACAAGTGATTCCTTTAAAAATGCATTATGAGAAGATTTATGTCATTGTAATTTGCAAGTACTTTCACAAGAAAAGGCAGTGCAAAAGTTTCCTGTAAGTTGTAATATGTTTATATCAAGAATGAATTAATGCAATTCATAATAACAAAGTGACATTGTATTCAGGTCAGTCACAATAACATTCCTTAAATTATGTATTAGCACCAACTTTGCACCAAAACACTTTTGCTTGCATTATGTAGTTGTCATCAGAAATGTTGCTTTTCTTGTGTTTAATGCATTATCAATTTTTGTTGCAAGTATAAAATGCATTGATATGAAACTATCCTAATTTTTTTAGACATAAGACATTGTATCTTCCAATAATGCTAGTGTAACAAAAAGGCAGCATTAGTGCTTAAGTCCTTTATATTTATCAATCATATTACCGGGATTTAGCTTGAAATGAAATCATTGAAAGAAGACAACACAAATTATATTAAAAATATTGCTTTTTTCATATTTGAGGGCTCACGTCAAATTTATTTTTCATTCTGGCTCCTGTTCGAATTCAGAGTTTGCATTCTCTTAGATGAGTTGCCATCCAAGACTGACTCCTCCCATACATCAGGATTTACCCTATTTCTCACACGCACATGTCCTTAACAACTTTTAAAACAAATGGATAAATTAATGTCTGTTTCATAAATTTCATCTCGAACAAACTTTCGTCAAAATGTTTCATTCAAACAAATGTATTTTCAACAAATTTCCTTACATGTTGCATGTCTAGTAGGAGTTAATTACAAATGGCGTGAAGCTTTTTTCATCAAATTCTAATGGTTAAAGAAATACTCAGTTTTTTAAACATCTGCTGTATTTTTTAAACAATATAAAAAGAAACTTGCAAGGAGTGCATTGGGGTTCTATAAAATGTATGAATTAAATAAGCTAATTAGCTTTAGCTCATATAAAAGCATTTAAAAAAACAGATTGAAATATATAAATATATACATAATATGCATTGTATTTATAGTTAAATTAATATTTTACATAAAATCATGTATTAAGTCAATTCTTAAAATATGTTATTATTATTTTATTAAATAAAACAGAAGGCTCACTTAGGGTGATATTATATATAAATCCACTGTTATTTAAATAAATTGAAAAAGATTATATTACAAACTACAAAGGAAAACAGTTTAGTCTCCATTTCATATTAAATAAAGGGAAGTTATGCAGATTTTCTTACTCTTTATTAAAGACAGATCAAAAGAAGAATGTTCTCCCTTCGCTTTAGAAGGAATCGATTTTTGAAAAAAATTATTCTTTGTTATTTAATATAATTTTTAATAATCATTCATAATAAATATTATATTTTTCGAAAAATTCACATGGTCGACCGTGTTTATAAATATATATTGCATTCCTTTTTTCAAATGTGGATTTCTTTAAAAACAACAACAAACATTAAATTTATACCTGTAAACGTCTCGAATGGAAAAAAAAACAAACAACAAACCTCGCATGCTTTGTTATACTTAAATTCATTTTTAAGGCGCTCTGTTATCAGTTTAGCAAGAGAAATTACAATTAGTTAAAAATAGAACAACTCTTAACAACAAAGTTGTTCGTTTAAATCCTTTACATATTGTAATGTTGCGCAATGGTGGCGGGCCGAAAATGTGACTAAACCTCCATCCACGTGACGCACGTTATAAGACTACCAGTCAGCCCCTCTCCCGCGGCCCCCCCCCCCTATCCCAAGGCTCGCATCGAATTTCATCGGCAATTTCATTTTATCTTACCCTTGAAGAACAGAAAAAAAAAAAAAATTTAGGGGGGTGGGGTTGTGATAAAAATAAATGTGCTGTCATCGGCAAAGAATCTGTGTGCCGATTTCAGCTCGATAGCCGGACATGCTAGTCACATGAAAAGGGATAATTAGTCACATCATTTTTTTTTTTGTTGAATACATTTTAAATACAATCTTTACATGTATATGCACTTAGAACATATTTAAATCTCCTACTGTCTTTTTTTTTTGACTTTTCAAATCCCAGTGAAGAATATTGAAGTAACGTTTTATTTCCAAGCCATCCGTTATCTAGTTTTCTATTTCTAATTTGATCAGGCTGACATTGCCCTTTTAACAGGAAAACAATTTTAACTAGATATTTATTGGGGTAAAACGTTGTTTACCTTTTAAAGGTTTATAAAAAAACACTGTTATATGTTCGCTTTATGCTATCAGCTATTAGGATAGTGATTTGAAAATTTCAATAGTTAAGATTAGAGGCCGACCGAATTTCGGCTTCGGTTTCGGCGCCGAAAGTGGCCATTTTATCACTTTCGGCCAAGTTTCGGTTTCGTCCGAAACTGGAAAGTTAAATTTCGGCTTATTTTCTGTTTCGGCCGAAAGAGAAAATTTAACCTTCGGTTTTTCTTCGGTTTCGGCCGAAATTGACTTAGACTTTCGGCCATCAGGCTGAAAGTTACTCAGGTTTTCGGTCATTTAATACTAAGCGAAAGCGATATTTTACAACAAACTAAGCGACATTTAAGAACAAATTAAGCGATCTTTGAGAACAAACTAAATTATATTTAAAACAAACTAAACGACATTTATGAACAAACTAAACGATCTTTAAAACAAACTAAGCGATCTTTAAGAACTATCTAAGCGATCTTTAATAACAAACTAAATGATCTTAAAGAACAAACTAAACGATTTTTAAGACCGAACTAAATGATCTTTAATAACAAAACAAATGATCTTTAATGATTTATAAGAATAAACTAAGCAATCTTTAACAGAAGACTAAATGTTCTTTAAAAACAAACTAAAAGATCTTTAAGAACAAACTAAGTGACCTTTATGAAAAAGCTAAGCGAATTTACAACAAACTAAGCGATCTTTATGAACAAACTAAACGATCTTTAAGAACAAATAAAGCGATCATTAACAAAAACTAGACGATCTTTAACAACAAACTAATGCGATCTTTAACAAAAAACTAAACGATCTTTAACAACAAACTAAACCATCTTTAACAACAAACTAAACGATCTTTAACAACAAACTAAACGATCTTTAACAACAAACTAAACGATCTTTAACAACAAACTAAACGATCTTGAAGAACAAACTAAACGATCTTTAAGAACAAACTAAACGATCTTTAACAACAAACTAAACGATCTTTAACAACAAACTAAGCTTTCTTTAAGAACAAATTAAGCGATCTTTAAGATTAAACTAAGCTATATTTTAGAACAATCTAAGCGATCTTTATGAACAAACTCACTGATCTTTAACAACAAACTAAACGATCTTTAACAACAAACTAAACGATCTTTAACAACAAACTAAGCTTTCTTTAAGAACAAATTAAGCGATCTATAAGATTAAACTAAGCGATATTTTAGAACAATCTAAGTTCTAAGCGATCTTTATGAACAAACTCACCGATTTTAACAACAAACTAAACGATCTTTAACAACAAACTAAATGATCTTTAACAACAAACTAAGCTTTCTTTAAGAACAAATTAAGCGATCTTTAAAATTAAACTAAGCGATATTTTAGAACAATCTAAGCGATCTTTATGAACAAACTCACCGATCTTTAACAACAAACTAAGCGATCAATAACAACCAATTAAACGGTCTTTAACAACAAACTAAGCGATCTTTAACAACAAACTAAGCGATCTTTAACAACAAACTCACCGATCTTTAACAACAAACTAAGCAATCTTTAACAACAAACTAAGCGATCTTTAACAACAAACTAAGCGATCAATAACAACCAATTAAACGGTCTTTAACAACAAACTAAGCGATCTTTAACAACAAACTAAGCGATCTTTAAGAACAAATTAAGTGATCCTTTAGAACCACATTTTTTAGAGACCCGGTTTCAAAAAAATAATATTTTGCATTAATTTCCCAGCTTCCCCCCCCCTCCCCCGCCTCCCC